GGAGGGCGGTATTTATATATAACCATCTACAGACTAGAATTCTTTACATGGTCCCCATGGTAACAAGTTAACTTAATTTTCAAGAATATACTTGAGTGAGGGGAAGATGTTTCACTTGAATGGAAATAAACTATTGAATAAACAAATTAGTATACAATTTGTGAACATTCTTGCAAGTAATTAGGAGAAATTTAAAATTGATACACTAACTAATAAATTTTGGATTGTGAGATCACTAATAATCCTACCAATTCTCAGATACACTTATTTTGATTAGGCAACCAATAGTCTAAATATTGTCTTCTTCAGTTGTGTTCGGAAACTTCACTTACTGTTGGGCCATTTTCAGTGTTTGTAATTACTTCCCACACATACGCCCGGCACAGGTAACTATTCAGTCAAGCTGGTGAAAATTTCAAGTTACTCTATGGTCAGGTAGATTTTTTGAGAAAATAAATAAAATGTAAATATGATTGTTGTCAAAATTATGTACCTAGAAGTCTGATGCGATCATTTTGACACAAGCAACATGCACCGTAAAACAAGTATAAAAAACAATCCATGAATGATTATGAATCAGATTTTTCTTACTGCAGTGACACTGATTGAATGAAATATAGAGATTAAAAGTAAATAAAATATTGAAAACATAAACAGGGCTGGTAAATTTTTAAAGTTATCTGCCCTGTTGTCTGATACAACTGTTTTGACAAATTTTGCTATTTTGATGTGTCATCAGCCGTTTCTCAGACTGGACAGGGCCAATTTTATTCAAACATGGTATGAACAAATAACACTACAAATGTTTTGAACTGGACATGAGTGAATTATGTAGTTAGTTTGTATTTTTTCCAAATTTATAAGTAATATTCTATTATTTGTTGTAGGTAGGAAATAGATAAAGACTATTCTCTTTTCTATTGCAAACACGGTTCTTTCAAATAATTTTTACTGGCAAAGTTATTCACAGTCCTTGGTCATGTAAAAATCAAATTAAATGTTGTGTTGTGAGTTTCTCATGAAAAATGCACCCACACAATCGGGCCATTCCAGTTTATATCTGCATCCCCCCTGTTGATGAGCTTGTGTGTTTACTTCATACCAGGGTATAATTTCCATGGGTGTATAAATCATACAAAGTTTTATTTCCAAATCACCATTCACCATACAGTAATGGAAATCCAAAACTATAGTTTCTACTTATGGTGTTGATGAGTTCCATTG